ACATGTCACCCAGTGCAACAGTCTGGCTCATTGATGTGTTTTTAATAGTTCCTGACAACAATGGAGCTCTATGGCACAGAGGAATGAGATATATAAGGCTTTGGCTACACACACAGTAGTTGTTAGTGGGATCTGTTCATTGTCGGTTTTGGTCTTTTCATGGGCAACAGTAACTTTTACTGATGTTCAGAGTACTTTTTAAGTGGTATGTCAGCAAAATGTCAGTATCATGCATCCTTCTTTTAACTGCAGATTAAACTAGATTAGGACGACTAAGATTAAACCTTGTTAACAGCATCTTTAAAAACATTTCTCTCTTACTATAATCTTCTTTTCATGTATGTGTGGGAGGAGCAGTCTGAGAGTCTGCTTCTGTCTTTAATGATGGACTCTTCCTATACTGTGTAATTCACCAGGTTATAAGTGGAAAGCCACAGTGCAGCAGAAACATGACAGACGCCCATAGGACTGTAAGCCTGTGTGTATTTCTGTACGTCTATCTTTGTGAGGACCAGTACGAGTTTTTGACTTCGTCCACATATTTGCAACTGGATCTGAAGTCCTCAAGTCTTTTAAATGCTGTTTGGAGGTTAGGATTAAGTTTTAGACCTAAGGCTAGAATTCGGTTTAAGGTAGTTCTAGGATTAGGGGCTACGAATGTTTTATGTTCAGTATGTGTGTTCTTGTTCTTGTTCTTTATAAAGACTTGAGAGTAGGGACATTTTCTCTTCCTTGTTTGGGGGTTCAGTCTTGGTTTTAGAGTTTAGGGTAGAAATGGGTTTAGGTTAAAGGAATAATTTACATTTAGGAAAAACACACTTATTAACTTTCTTTCTGAGAGTTAGATAAGAAGATTGATACCGGTTTTATATCTGTACGCTAACTATGAAGCTAAAGCTAGCTGGAAATTAGCTTAGCCTATCATAAAGACTGGAAGCAGGGGTAATCTTTGGTTCTGTCCAAAAGTAACAAAATCTGCCAAACAGCCCTTCCAAAGCCCACTAACTAACATGTCATATAGTTTTTGTTATATCTGTGCAAAAAACAAAGTGTGTACATGACAAGTTGTGGTATTACAAGGGGTGATGGGCCAGACTATTTCTTGGGCAGGAGCACTGACTTCCTGGAGTCTTCATTGTGAGGTTGCCAGGCGGAGACCAGCGGAGACTTTTCTCCAAACTTTTGTCTATTTAAATGAAACCCGAGAAGGAATCATCAGTCTTTTGTTGAGCTGTTAGCTATTTTGGACTGAGGGCTATAACATGACGATGCCTCACTGCCAGGTTTAAACTAACACCTAAAGTCTCAGTTTGAACCTGAAGAACCTGAACTCTGTTCAGATGTTTAGTTAAAAAGCACTGTGTACTCAGTAAGTGTGTGTTATCAGTATGTTTACTCATTGCGGTTAGTCGGGGATGGTCCTGGTCATGTGATACATAATCCAGAGGCTTGTTTCCTGCTGCCCACAGCCTCCCCTTCCTTCTCTGGTGTCACTGTGACACTAATCAGCCAATCAAACACTGCCGCCCCGGCTTCACCTCTGACCAATCACAGGCGGACTTCCACTGCCATAAAGTCTTAAAAAAGAACTCGTAATTAACTGCAATAAACTGCAGAGCTTTCATGGCAGATAGCCAAACCCTCCTGTGGGTTCAATGTCAGTTTGCTCAACACCGACTGTTAATCTCTGAAAATGTTGTATAAGTGTGTTTGAAAATCAGTCAAAATGAAGCTGGAGTTTGTTAGAAAACTTGCACAAAATACCCTTTACACCAAGTACACTGCAAAATAATCTTTAGGCCATTGCTGTCTACTAGTGAGTTATAAATCATTTAGTTTTTACTGAAAGTGAAACAAAATGTTAGTTTCCAAAAATGCACATTTTGATCAATATTTTATGAGAATTGTCAGTATGTGGAAACTACATTTTATGAGGCAGATTACAGTGCTAGGATCAAAACAAATGGCATTTGCTCTTTAAAAAATACTATTTACAGTATAGTACAATAATAAATTAAATCTTTTTTTATAAGAATTTTTTGCAGTGTCGCTCTGGATATGTTAATGGTACATAAATAATACACACTACAATATATAGTATATGGTCAAAGGTATGTGGACACCCAACATGTTTCCAAGGCCACTGGCATTAATCTGCTGCTGTATCAGCCTCCACTGTCCTGGTTTCTGGGTTTCCCACCAGAGTATAGAATCTGGCTGCAGAGATTTGCTCCCATTTATCCTTAAGAGCTTTAGTGAGGACCAACACTGACATTGGGTGACAAAGTCGGTCTCACAGTTCACATCCCAAAAGTGTTGAAGATGGAGATGAAGTCAGGGCTCTGTGCAGACCACTGAAAATCTTCCACTACAAACTTGGAACTGGCTTTGTGCATAGGTTTGAAGGCCCTTCCTCAAAATGCCTCAAACATCACTGCATGCTGTAGCATTCAGATATCTCTTCTAAGAGGATCTGCCCATATCCATGAAAACAGCCACAGACCAAAAGTAGTGTAAAAAAAGTATGAAGACAGAGCTGTCCACATACTTTTGGCCATATAGTGAAAGAACTTTTCACACTGCAAGTTTCTAAATGCTGGATTGTATTCTTCAGGCTAAATAAAGCAGATTTCCAGCAGCTTATACAAATATTAACCTGCCCTTTCACCTCTCATCAGAGCACCAGTGCTGCAGGAAAACTCCAACCAAATACGGTAAACTATACACATAATGCTCAGTGTCGTGTATTCATTCTGACCTTGTTTGCAGTCGGAGGAAGCTTCAGGAGTTGAGCTGCAGGTTGTGGAGCAGAAGCAGACAGACGTGGTTTGCCTTTAGTTTATCTCCTGGGTTTCCCTGGATGTTGTTCACTGCTCAGTGATGCTGCTGCAGAAACTGAGCCTCCTGGTTGGCTTATAAACCCTCCAGCCTCCGGGAACAGCCAATCGGCTTGGAGCTTGTGATGTCATGAGGTTAACCGCTCCGTGGTCCACCTCTCCTCTCTCTCCCACTCTTCCTGTGGTTGGTGCTGTGGTGGTGTGGGGGCAAACGCACACACACACACACACACACAATGCAAAGACAAATACATGGATAAAGACATGCAGACATTTACAGCCCCGACAGAAACATGTGAATGTACTCTCTCATTCTCACACAAACACACACACACACTCACTCGTTGTGTATGAAGTTAATTTAAGGACATGTAGTGACAGGCACTGGGAAAAAACAGCAGCATATAGTGGCGGGTGGTATGACAGTGATTCAGCTTCCTCACAGACAGAAGAAACTCATCTGACTGAGGTCTCTCTGGATAATTGAGAATTTGTCTGCGACGCTAGACTGATGCCTCTTAAACTGTCGAACAAGGGGAGAGGCTGTGTGTGTGTATGTCTATGTTATGTTTCCAAATAAGCAAGTAACTTTTAGTAAATTGCTGTGTGTGTGTGTGTGTGTATAAAATATATAATATGAACTCCAGTCAAGTTGTGCCTCCTGGAAATATATTGTGTACAGTTGACGTTCAGTGATTGAAACAAATAAAATACTTTCTACAAAGTACATTTAATATTTAATGTACCTTTAAATGCAGCACAATTAATTTAAGTGTATTATTGACAGTGTTTAGCTATTTACTCAAAAACAAAAATCATTTATTTTTCAAAAGTACATTATTAAGCCTTTTCAAAAGTAATATAATTACTTTACTTATTACTCCCCCAGTAATTAGTTACCCTACTAGTTACTGGGAAAAGTAATATTGTTACTTTAATATTATCACTAGTACTAAGTTCCTGCCCAACAATGATTATGGATCATAATACACACCAATAAAACCTCTATTTTAGGGTACAAATGTTCTCTGCGTACATGAAATATTACATTAAAAACTATCTCCTTTTCTTTTTTTTTCTTCTAAAAGACTCAGAGTGACAGTTGGCATCTTCGTCTTACTGTATATGACACCCTCTATGCTTAAACCCTCCCTCTGGATCAGGAAAGATTTGAGGAACAAATTGACGAAACCTGAGGAAGAGCAACAGAGGAGGGATCTCTCCCCCAGGACGGACAGATATGCGATTGATAGACATAGTAACAGTATTGTCAATCAGGGTGACAAAATTACTGATTAATTGTAAACATATATGATATATTGATTATTGCAACGCACTTTCCTCAGGTATTTTACAGGGCCCTCTCCACCGTCTCTATCTGGTATGGGACGCTGCTGCTGGACTCATTAGCAAGATGAAGAGGAATGATCACATCACCCCTGTGCTTGCCTCCCTGTTCAATTTCAAATTGATTGCTCACTTTCAAAGCCTTAAACGGACTTGCTTCTGTGTCCATTTCTACAAAGTGGGGAGAGAGAGGGAGAGGCCCTGGGGAGGCTGATGGTCCAGCACGGAAAAGGCTGCTGGGAGAAAGAGCACGAGCACAAATGCATGCAGGGCAATTTTGTTGAACGGAAGACTAATGTGACCATACATTAGACTTCCAATATGACCTTCAGAATAAAAGGTGTGGGGGGTCGATAGGCAATGTAATTCTTCATTTATACCCACTGTGTGAAGTATGGATCAATACTTGGTTTCAGAGAAATAGATTCCTATATAGCACATGTCCGCTCTTGTATCCTGCACATATTATAATGACAATCAGCCAAACAGAGCAGTGTATCGATCAGATACTGTGCAAGTCCTGTTTGATTAAGATCATCGTTGTCATCGTAGTTCCACTATTTTTCTGGCACCAGTTATCAGTTCATGGTTTTAATTAGCTGGTGTGACAATTAAATGCTGCATTACATTACATACTTACTTCAAAATGTCCCCTAAACTGAGAAAATATCAAAAAATATCATATTGCGACATTTCATTTTGTGATATTGTGTAAATTCTCAAAAATTATGCTATGATGTTGTATGTTACAGCGACAAATGCAGATATGGTTTTATAAGACAGTTTTTTTCCTAAAAGTTACATTTTAATTAGTAAGTAAGTTAATTCTTAAAGTATATCGCAATTTATCGCCTTGCTTACAGTATCGCAATATATCACAATATACTGAATCGTAACCCCTGTATCGTGATACGTATCATATTGCCAGATTATTGCCAATACACAGGCCTAAAACTTAGCAGTTTTTAGCACACATTCTGTTTAGATACCTTAACAATATTATGTTTTAGAAAATAAGACGGTGGTGGATCTTTACGAAAAAAATGAGGAGGGAGTAGGGTGGGTTGGATCCAGACAGACATGCATTCTCTGAATTCTCTGTAATTTACATTTTAAACCCGCAGCCTCGTTGAGACTACAGAATCATTAAACTTGATTGGCTCGTAAAAGTGTCTGAGTCTGTCTTTGTGTGTTTATGTCTGACACACTGACATACTGGCTGGGTACATATATACTGTACACTCACACACTCACATGTAGAGTTGTTTCAATGTAATTGCGCTAACACACCAAACTAGACATACGCGCACACATACCTGCACATTTTCAGCACAGCTGCACAAACAGAAATACACTAACTTGATCCCTCACACATCAAAGTAACATAATGCTTTATTACTAAGATATCAAATGTTTCCTATATGCACACATAACTTTTCCTCTCATATTTTGCAAAAATACTGACGGAATAGCAAAAGGGGGTTGTATGACTGACCTCTGTTCACTATCGCTGGTAATACTATAGCAAACACTAAGTAAAACCCTGTCAACAGTCTAGAACAGTCTAGTCTAGAAAAGCTCTGATAAACCCACTGCACACTACCTGCTCAGCAGGAAACAGCAGACAGACACAGTTAGCAACTAGATGGTGAACATAGTGGGATATTTATTAGCTTTCCAGATATTTCCCTCAGGAGTTGGTTGAGACCAAACCAGAGATTAGGTCCAGTGTGTAACATTGAGTATGATCTATTGGTAGAAATGGAATATAATATTCATAGGTACGGTTTTCATAAGTGTATAATCATCTGAAAATAGGAATGGTTGTGTTTTCGTTACCTTAGAATGAGCCGTTTTTATCTACAGATGGAACAGGTCCTCTTCTGCAAAGTCTGCCATGTTGAACCTCCATGCTGGTGCTAAATCCTACACACTGGTCCTTTAATCCAGCTTTAACAAAGTCTTTATGAGAATCCTGACTGGTGTATTGTAACTAAATGAAAAAAGAAATAAATCTCCACTGTGCACTTTGTATTAACACACATTTGAAAAATTTAATTAAAATGTAGGTGCAAGCAGCAGAAATCCACCAACACAACAAAACATGTTCCCACTGGACATTAAAGGACAACATATCACAGCAAAGCACTCCCCTTCTGCTGGGAAATGGGATAATGTGGATATACAGTTAACGTCACAGTACATCCTGCTTTGGCAACATTTCTAATGAACCTAAATCAGTAATTCAGAACAGACGCAAATTAAGATCATTCATAGGACACATGCAGGGCTCAGAATATAAACACATAAACATACAGAAATTGAAGTCATACATAAATAGTCATTTAATCCATTTGACACTGATTTCTGAACACACACAAACACAAAGAAGACATACTCTTATATATCTGTCAGCACCGAAGGTCGCTGGGTTAATACACACACATCGACTGTCTGATTACAGTAACAGTGTGTCATCACTCTGAACGTACAGACACGTTGAACTCTGACAGCTTGATGAGTTCTGAGGCCTCACAGTCACTAACCTTCAATTACACAGCCACTCAAATCAAAGCTTCTTCTTCCGCAGACGCACTAAGGTATGTCGCACAGCAGGAGCATCCCACTTGCTCTTTAATGGCCCAGGAGGACTATTTGATAATTGATAATAATTATATATTTTAAATGTTTTTGTTTTTGAAGATGACTCTGTTCTTTTGTACTTTTTTCAATAAAAATGTTTTATTTAAAAAGTTACCTGTTGAAGAGTTGGTGTATATTTTCCCTTGGATAACAGTACTGAATGAACATCAGGGTGATTTCTTTTCATATAACACTTCTGTACAGTTGTTGTCACATAGTGTAAATTATGTTATTTGCAAACACACGCTGTGTGCTTGTGCCAGTGTGTGTGGGAGAGAGAGGAAACCTGGATGATCTGCCGTTTGTTGGATTAAAGGACGAATAAAGCAGCATGAGACACGTCTGGGATGAATGTGTCAGGACACGCTGTGTAAAGCTTTCTACCTCTGTTTTCACCCACTGACAGAATGTTTATGTGAGATCATTTCTTGTCTTGTGTTTAGGTTTCTGACTGTATTTATGTTTTTATGTTACTTGTTACAGGTGAGACCCACTGTGTCTGCATACTGATATTATGCACTATGTACTAAAATAGATGGTGCAACAGC